CATATGCTAACCCTGTTGATTGAAATTGCCATGGACTAACAATCCCATCACTCTAACAAATTTGAAATTGCTTTACTGTGATACTGAACTATGCCATATCTTATTTAATGTTATTGAAAAACTGTTCACTAATTACCATGTATACGCACACTTATTGACAAAAATAAATCTTATAATTTTTATAAAAAGTTGTGATATTAATGTATGAAATATTAAATTTGAACAACGTACTCCTGGTCCAAGAGTTAAAATAGTGATATTTTATTAGAGATTTTTAAATTTGAATAATTTTATAGAAATATTATTTTTAATTAATGAAAATTAATTAATAATAATTAATCCCCATAAATATCCTCACAATGTCATATCCCGGCCTAAACTCCCTTACAGTATCACAACGCACAGGAGCTGCAGTATTGGGACTGGGTAGGTGGGACACCCCAGTTAATGCATAAATAGCTCAGACAGCACCACAGAACAGAAATAAGGTATATGTTATGAATACATGTATATTAAAAAGTGAAATTAATAGCTAATTATTAGTAACATAAATCTTTGCACACATGCGCACTAACAATATCACATTGCAGTCCCTGCCACTTGGTCTCCCAGCTCCCCCCTGCACACTAATGTTACGCAGGCACCCGGTGTCTGAAGAAGTGTCTGCCTTACTTTAATGTTAATTAGAGTAGCAACACAACCACATAATAACAGGCACCATTCCAACAGCAGGTACCTGGCCACTGGACATGCTGCGTATTTATTTTATTTGTTTTGTTTTTTTTCCGGAAAATATTCTTCATGAGAATATTTTACAACTCAAAATCTGAAATTTTTTATTTTTTATTTTTTTTTGCTAGAGAAATTCTACCTAGTATTCTACCGTTAAATAATTAAAAAATAAGTAATCCTTTGTTGGCATCTAGTGGCTGAATTCTTTATTACACTTGTAATTTAAATTTAGCCTCAAAATGGCAAGCTTATTCAACTCATTAATTGGAATCTGTCATAGTTACATAGTTACATAGCTGAAAAGAGACTTGCGTCCATCAAGTTCAGCCTTCCTCACATTTGTTTTTTGCTGTTGATCCAAAAGAAGGCAAAAAAAAACAGTTTGAAGCACAATTTTGCAACAAGCTACGAAAAAAATTCCTTCTTGACCCCAGAATGGCAGTCAGATTTATCCTTGGATCAAGCAGTTATTACCCTACATTGAAAGATTATATCCTTGAATATTCTGTTCTTGCAAGTATGCATCTAGTAGCCGTTTGAACATCTGTATGGACTCTGATAAAACCACTTCTTCAGGCAGAGAATTCCACATCCTGATTGTTCTTACAGTAAAAAAACCTTTCCTTTGCCTTAGACGAAATCTTCTTTCTTCCAGTCTAAACGCATGGCCTTGTGTCCTATGTAAAGTCCGGTTTGTGAATAGATTTCCACACAATGGTTTGTATTGGCCCCGAATATATTTGTATAATGTTATCATATCCCCTCTCAGGCGACGTTTTTCTAAACTAAATAGGTTTAAATTTGTTAACCTTTCTTCATAGCCGATATGTTCCATTCCTTTTATTAATTTTGTAGCCCGCCTCTGCACTTTTTCTAGTGCCATAATATCCTTCTTTAGAACAGGTGCCCAAAATTGCACAGCATATTCAATATGGGGTCTTACCAGTGATTTATAAAGAGGCAAAATTATATTCTTGTCCCGAGAATGAATGCCCTTTTTCATGCATGACAATACCTTACTGGCCTTGGCCACTGCTGATTGACATTGCACATTGTTGCATAGTTTGTTGTCTATAACAATTCCCAAGTCCTTTTCGTGTGTTGTTATCCCTAATTCGCTTCCATTAAGGGTATACGTTGCTTGTGTATTCTTTACGCCGAAGTGCATAACTTTGCATTTTTCAACATTAAATTTCATCTGCCATTTGAGTGCCCAGTCCCCCAGTCTATCTAAATCCCTCTGCAGCAAAGTAATATCTTGCTCACATTGTATTGTTTTACAAAGTTTTGTGTCATCTGCAAACACTGAAACATGACTTTCAATGCGGTCTTCAAGATCATTTATAAACATGTTAAATAGAAGGGGTCCCAGAACAGACCCCTGAGGGACACCACTTGCCACCTCTGTCCAGCTTGAAAATTTACCATTAATGACAACTCTTTGTACTCTGTTTTTAAGCCAATGTTCTACCCAAGAACAAGCATTTTCATCTAGACCGATTTCCTTGAGTTTGAACACTAATCTATTGTGTGGAACTGTATCAAATGCCTTGGCAAAATCCAAAAAGATCACATCCACGGCAACACCCTGATCTATACTTCTACTTACTTCTTCGTAGAACGCAATCAAGTTAGTTTGACATGACCTATGCTTCATAAAACCATGCTGATTTTTGCTGATAACCATGTTCTTCTCAAGGAATTCTTGAATATTATCCCTTAATAAACTTTCAAATATTTTACCAGCCACAGAAGTTAAGCTCACAGGTCTATAATTTCCAGGCAAGGATTTTGAACCCTTTTTGAATATAGGAACCACATCTGCCTTCCTCCAATCCTCCGGAACACTTCCTGAAAGAAAAGAATCTTGAAAGATTAAAAACAGAGGTTCACTTATTTCTGCACTTAGTTCCTTAAGTACACGTGGATGGATACCGTCAGGCCCTGGAGCTTTGTTTATATTAACTTTCTTTAGTTGCTGCAGCACCTTGTCTTGAGTTAACCAATTACAATTATTCTGCAAGTTTTTAGTAGCAATCATTTGCACATCTATTGCCATGGGTTCTTCCTTAATATATACAGAGGAGAAAAGTTATTTAAAATTCCTGCCTTTTCCTGGTCTTCATTAACTAACACCCCCGTTTCAGTTTTTAGTGTACCTACACTTTCATTTTGTTTTTTTTTAGAATTTATGTACTTAAAAAATGCTTTGGGGTTGGTTTTGCTCTCTTCAGCTATCATTATTTCATTTTGAAGTTTAGCAAGTCTAATTGCCTTTTTGCACGCATTATTTGCATCCTTATATCTTTTATAAGATGCATCTGATTTGTCCGATTTAAATGCTTTAAATGCCCTTCTCTTAGTTGTAATCTCTTGTTTTACTTCTCTACTAAGCCATGTTGGTTTTAATTTGTTTCTTTTATATTTATTTCCCAATGGTACATACTGAGAAATGTACCTTTGTAATATTTGTTGGAAGATGATCCATTTATCCTCAGTGTTCTTTTCACTAAAGAGTTTATGCCAGTCAATATATTGTAAAGCTTCCCTTAACTTATTGAAATTGGCCTTTTTAAAATTATATGTTTTAGTATTCCCCATGTGCTTTTGTTTTTTTGAGTTTATTTCAAAGGACACTATATTGTGATCACTATTTCCCAAGTGCTCACCTACTTGAATGTTGGTCAAAAGATCAACGTTGTTTGTTAAAACCAGGTCCAGACAAGCATCCATTCTAGTTGGTGCTTGTACAAGTTGTGACATGAAGGTGTCATTTAACAAGTTTAAAAACCTAATTCCCTTTGCTGAGGCACTAGTCCCTCTGTCCCAATTTATATCCGGGTAATTAAAATCTCCAATAATTAAAGTGTTACCCAGATTTGCAGCTTTCTCAATTTGCTCAAACAGCTGTTGTTCCTCGTCAATATTAACATTAGGTGGTTTATAACATATCCCAACCAATAGTTGGTTTCCCTTCTTTTCCCCCAAGCAGATATTTACCCATAAAGCTTCCACATTATCCTCCTCGCATTCCATTTGCTTAACATTTGGCTTTAAATCATGTTTGACATACAAACATACCCCACCACCCTTCTTGTTTTTCCTATCCTTCCTAAATAACATGTACCCATTTAAGTTAGCTGCCCAGTCATGTGTCTCATCCCACCATGTTTCAGTTATGCCTATTATATCATATTGTTTAGTGTATGCTAATGCCTCTAGTTCCCCCATTTTGTTATTTAGGCTCCTTGCATTAGTAAGCATACATTTAATATTATGCGTCACTTGTATATTTTGTGAATTTTCAACATTACACAGCTTCTCTGTTCTGAGCTTGCCCCTCCCCCCGTTTCCACCCCCTTATACTGTGCTAAAGCCCATCTCCTTTCTGTCCTATCTCCATTTTGTAGATTGCTATGACCCTCCCCCCCTACTACTAGTTTAAAATCTCCTCCAACCTTCTAGCCATCCTATCCCCCAGCACTGCAGACCCTCTCCCGTTTAGGTGCAATCCATCACCACTATAAAGGTTGTACCCAATCGCAAAGTCGGCCCAGTGCTCTAAAAACCCAAAACCCTCCTTCCTGCACCAAGACTTAAGCCACGCATTGACCTCTCTAATCTCCCGCTGCCTTTCCACTGTAGCACGTGGCACAGGTAATATCTCAGAGAATACCACCTTGGAGGTCCTTTTCTTAAGTTTGCTACCTAATTCCCTGAAATCATTCTTTAGGACCTTCCATCTTCCTCTTACTTTGTCATTGGTACCAACATGGACCATGACCGCTGGGTCATCCCCAGCCCCTCCCAATAATCCATCCACTCTGTCAGCAACATGCCGGACCCGAGCACCCGGGAGACAGCAAACTGTCCGGTTGAGCCAATCAGAGCGGCAGATTGCCCTATCTGCTCTCCTAATGATAGAGTCCCCTACCACCACAACCTGTCTGTATGGTTTATTCTCTATATATGGGATCGTCCACATATTTTTGAGTTAATATAGCCAAATAGACATATTCCTATTCATGATTAAAAATTCAAACACTCTTACACCCTTACAGCGAGAAACACATAACTCACAAAGTTATTAAAAAATAATTAAGCATAACATGTTTGCATTTTACTGGAGGAGTCTGTGAACTGACAAAATAACGCTATACAGGGCTCTTTAATCCCCTAAGGACCAAACTTCTGGAATAAAAGGGAATCATGACATGTCACACATGTCATGTGTCCTTAAGGGGTTAGGGTACCTGGGCCAGTGGGGGGGGGAGGGCAGATAAATGAGCCACCCTATGCACCATTCTCAGGCTGTCTCACATAGCGGGAGGAGAATGGTTTCCTGATCGCGCATCAGTTATTACTTTCACGACAGGGCACGGGTACAATGCACACGTGGCACCGCAGTTACTGTGAGGTCTGACCCTGAGTGGTACGTGGCTAGTAACAGCCACGGCTTCAGAAACTCGCCATGGAACACTGAAGGAAGCAGAATTAGCTTCATGTCATGCATTCTGTGTGGGGGCTTTCTATGAGGGAGTCTGTGCTGTGGCCTCCACTAGTATAATTTATTACATACTGTTATACTGCTGACAAATCTGAGAATTTCACAAACCATGCGATGTGGACTGCCCAACGAAATCCAGAGTTTTTGTGAGCTGAGACTCCGTTGTGTGAAAACTCAGAGAGGAAGCTTAAGTAGAGTAATAAGAGTGAATCTCGATAGACGTGAGATGTAAAGATAATATCATGTCATTTATTATTGGATGTAGCAACTATGTACCATAATTCCAAGGTGAGCCCATGATCCGATTATCAGACATATATCAGAAAATATAAACGTTATTCTATTATACACCCTGCAGGACACTATTAAGATAAATGGTTTCACAGATAATTTTTGTAGTTATTAAAAATCAAGCAGTGGAAAATGCTTTCTGTTGTTTATTGACACTGATTTCGTAAATACTTGTAGAATTCGCTTAGTGCACATACAGAGGTTACTTTATTATCAACAAGTATTGAAAAAAAAAACTTGGAAAATTAGATTTTCATTGGTTTGTTCTACATAATATAATTGCATACCAATATAGCGAAATATAGTTATTTTTATTGCCATTTTTTATAAATGCCTTTGCATATTATCAGTTTGCAATTCCAAGCTGAGAGAGTTTCGCTGCTGGGTGGATTGGAAAACGTTAAGTTGGTTTCCAACCATTTGTGGAAACAAGTAATTGATACTTTGTAGAAGCAGCAAATATGGATTATTTTCTGTTTAAAATTCCCGGAATAAATGCAGTTTGTGCTTATTTTTTCAGGTGATATTGTTATTTAAACACCCTGTCATATTATGGTGGAGTATATTATATGTTGATGCAATATGTAGTAACTACATTGCTCATTATCCAGATTTCACGTCTACTCTGGACATTGTTATTCTGACATGTTTGATCATTGTTTATGGTACAATCGTATAGATTGTTGTTGTCACAGTAAATTATATATTTAAGTAATATAATTATTGTATGCTGTCTTTAATTTATAAAATTAGGTTGAACTACAAGAATTTAAGATCAGAGATAATATAGTATCTCTTTAAATAGAAAGTGTTGGTGTGGTCATATAATAATTAATATCACCATATAATACTCATATTAAAAATAATTTATATATTTAATATTAATAAAATATAAAATTTTTGTAATTTTCACAAAATATTATTTTTGATATTTTATCCCACACACAAGATCCAGCGCACTCACTCATCCACTAAACAGCAACTTAAAAGTTTACAGATTTTAATAGTTTTTTTAAAACACCTAATCTAAGCAAAAATAATGGGGGTTAGTTATAGTACAGGATCATACTGTAACGGCACCCCGGGCATAAAAGAGGTTAAAAGCCTTTTAGTAGATATTCCCCTTCCAGATATAAAGGCAGCTACCGAATACACCAATCCGCCGAACAGGAAAACCATCAGCACTGCAGACCGAACCTCTCTTCCTGCAGAGAGCGAAGCTGGAACAAGCTCTTAAAAGAGCTTAGTGATTATAGCTAGGGGAGTATACAGAGTATAGCAATCCCCCAGTGTAGATGCAGTCGTATCCCCCCAATCATGAGACGAGGCTCTATGTAGAGGGTCAAAACAGGAACAGACTGAGCTGTGTCTTTATTGGCCTTATATACACATTTTACAGACATAGTCCCACCCACAGGGTTTTGCAGAACAACCAATCAATACGTACAATACACTCAGACACTGCAAGCAATTACACACAAAATCCTCCCCTCTGCCTGTGATATAATTACTGAACACAATGGGCTGACGTAATTATCACAGGCAGGAAAATACACAATTTTACACAATATTCATACTTTAAAAGTATACACCACATTCACATAAATACTTACATTTTCAGAATCAGCATACTCCAAATACAAACATATGTCAAAATCATACAAATTGGTCCAGTGGTTCAAAAGTTAGTTGGAAATCCCTTTTTGACCAACTAGGTGTGGTAAGCCAATTATCCCCAGCATACAGACAATATCTCCATTTACAACAACAGTAAAAACACATAAAAATACATAATTCCTATCATACTGAACAGAACCCCCACCTGCAACCTATCCCTAGCTTGGATCTGAGCGCTCACTATATCCGAACAGCGCTCAGATCCCACAAACACAGTCAAATCGTCATGGGGTTAAAGTTTAGCAACAAGTTCCAACTGGTCTGGCAGTGTCCCTGGGACAACGCCCTGCTGGAGAACAATATACAGGAAACAGGGGAGGGGCACACCTTCTCATGTATTCAAAGGGGCAGAAAAAGTGTTTCAAAATCCAATAAGCCCAAATACTGCTTACACAGGGGAAAGTCTCCCAGGGACCATAATCACATGGCAAGAGGCTGGCAAGTAGTCCTCTCCAGGCACAAGTGGCGAAGGGCACTTTGTCACACATACATTGCATAAGCCTGTCACAACGTCAATCTAACCCATGACTAATGCATAGTCACCTTTTTCGGCATATGCTAAACAAACCCCCCTAAAAAAACAAAAACAAATATTTGGACACCTTTATTTGGGAAACTTATCACAGCTTTAATAATATATAAATAATACTTGAAATATTTTAAGGTCATTGTCACATATAAACATTACATATCAACCCCAACTCCTTTAACAATATTACCCCAGACAATGACCCACAAGATAATTAACATATAAACATAACCATTGCCACTGGGGGCAAGACATAACCATTGCCACCGAGGGCATGATTATCAGTTTTCTTCAATGTAGGGGCATACGGGGATACACCCTACACACACCAGGTTCAGAGCTACCGACAAACTTGAACCTACGAATACTCTTCCAAACCTAACTGTTCTTAGCCAACCAAACTATTTTACATCAGGACAAACAACCTACACCTCAACTTCTCTATCCATCCCCTGCCATAGTTCAGAGCTCAACACTTTGAGCTACCTCAGCTCCCCCACCAAAACCAACACTCTCTGCATTATTTCCTGACCCTAACAGCAAGAAATCCGTACCCACCTCTGACAGATGCAACCCATCTTGCCTGTAACAACCCACCAACTGAGCTTCCAACTCCCTATGCCTCACAATCACCCCTGCCAAGCGCCTAACATAAGCCGTCATGATTTCATTCACCTTCCCCATACTTTTCACCAATGCCTGATGGTCTCTAGCGTGGCACCACTGCAATCGCGATACCATCTCTGACCATATGACCCCCACGTCTTGGACCAACTGCCTCAACCTATCCACTTCCTTCTTCCTACAGGTGAGCAAAGCCCTCTGTGACACCAGACCTAAGTCATTCCCTCCGGCATGAAACAAAACAATGTTCGGCACTTTACCCTTGCTAATCCTCTTGCATAGCTCTAAGCACACCCCTTGCCAACTAATACCCCTAAACCAAACCACTAAATCTGCACCATCGAGCGCGGGAAGCCCAGCTGTATGCAGTGACGATGAACTGGAGCTCTCCGTTGTGCCCAGTACACATATGAGTGTCCCATCACCCATGCAATCCAACCTGCAGAAGAAAAAAACACGTTATCCACACAGAACAGATAGAACCATTTCAACCAGACTTAAACTAATTGGTTTGGCCTCAAAAAGGACCTGAATCTCACTGATTCCCACCTCCTGATCTTCTTCCGCCACCACGCCAAGCCCCCATACGTGTGGTACACCTCCCAGATCAAGTCCAAGTAACAGAACAACGGTGAGCATCACTCAGGGGATTTCTCCCCCATAACACTGGCCAGAATTCAAAAAGAAGTCAACCAGTTCCGGAAAGTTTGTGATATTTTTCGATAGCGGCGCCTTCTCTCTTCTTCCTCATTCTGGCATCTTTTTTATCCTCCTCCTTCATGTCTAGATATTCATCCAGAGGAAAAAGAAAAAAGATCTCCAGAAATTCCCCCTTCCATATCCTCTCCTTCACCTCCAGTGACACCCCAATGGCCCTGCGAAGGAGATGTGAACATTCTGCCTAGCCGTGTCCGGGATGCCTCCAACTAGCTCTGCCCTCTCTGTCCCTAAATCGCCCATGGTTGTTGTCGATGGAACCCCCACATTTCCGGAAGAACTGCTGCTAGTCCCCAGAAGCGCCACCTCCATCAACCACGTATCCTCCTACATAGGAGCCCAAACCTGCCCAAAGTTAACATTCACCCCCCCCGAACCTCTGCTCCAAAAGTCCAGAAAAGACTTTAAACCCTCTAAAAAGATTCCCTGAAGGTTTAGCAGAAGACAACTCACTGTCTGAATCTCTTGCCGCTGAAGGTTGTGAGGCCTTGTCACAACGTAGTCCAAGTCTGGGAGCGACGGCGCCTCCAGCAGTAAGTCCGCTTCCCGAGGTCTCACCAGCCACCCTACTCTCTCTCTGGGACCCAAGAAGAGACTTACCCCCTCTGTGCCTTGCCTCCTGACCCCTGTGGCTGTGCCCGCTCCCAGCCATCTGTTCCTCATAGGCACCCTGAGAGTTTGATCTGCTGCACCTGCGTTCAGTTGTCCTAATGGGGGATCCCCAAATTATGCTCCCTGGTAGCCACCCTGTGGGACCCCCCCTGCCGTGGTGGCCTGCATGATCATTATGGCCAGTCCGGGGGGGGCCTGACATGAAAGTGCGGTGCTCTGTGCCCACTCGTGATTGGGATCTAATGGGTTTGAAGGCCTACCTGCCCATGTCCCAACTAAGGTCCCCCTCCCGGGGCTCTCTCCTTGGGCCGCCTCTACCCACGCTAGGCGATCTGGACGCAGACCTGAATGGCGACCTCGTGGACAGATTCCGCTCCCGTGGCCTGCTAGGAGAAGCCCCTCTAAGCTCACTGGCCATTGGGGACCCTGCCGTTGTCTGGGCATCTAGCGCCTGCATTCCCACCACCCGTTTGCTGCCCTGTGACTTGCGACCTATCATGACGGGAGACAACTCACCAAGCATGTCACCAGCTGGAACCACCTCTCCGTCACGACCAATAGCGTTCAGAGTGCCTCTAGTGCCTGCTGATGAGCCTGCTGTGGCTGTCCCTGTCTTTCTCCTTCCAGCCATTTCTGGCCCATTCCCGCGAATGCGGCACTAACCCGTTATCCTGGGGTCCTGTTCGCGGCCAGAACTGTCCTCCAGTTTGCGGCCCAAACGTGTGGCAGCATTTTGATTGCCCTGTTCGCGACCCATACCGACCTCCCGGTCACAGCCCGGGACCTTGCTTGTGAATGGGCATGACATTCGCTAACTTCCAATCTTGTGGGACTTCTCCTATTAACAATGATTGGTTAAATAAATCTGTTAATGGTTTTGCTATTACACCACTAAGCTCTTTTAATAACTTTGGGTGTATTCCACCAGGCCCCATTGACTTATTTGTCTTTACTTTTGACAGTTGCAATAGAACTGTAGCAGAGTAGCAGGGGTTAATCCAATAGCTCTCCGCTGGGAACAAAGATTCAGCATACAAAATCACAGGAACACAGCATAATCCACCTCCCCAAGGATTAGACGACACATAGTCTGGGAGTCAACTGTCAGCTTTATTCACAGGTCTGCTTTTATGCATTTCTCCCACGCAAGGGCGGTAACTTTCATAATTACTACAGTACACAATCATATCGTGGTCACCTCCCATCCCTCTCCTCCCCTTAGATTAACAATTAACCAGATTAATATGTACAGCGTTTTCCCCAATTTGTGGATGTCCCCTAAATACAGGGGGTACAGGGTTAAATAATCTGGGTGAGCAACATACTCAAAATTCACTCAGATCGGACCAGGGGTTCGGGAGTTACAGCCAGTGAAAGATTTGACCGACCGCACGGGCTCAGTAGCCGAAAACAGTTCCATGAATTCTGGCCCTGCGGTTGGTCTTTTCTAGTGAATCAAAAGTCCCGAATGGCTGAGGCATCCAGGCTTCTTTTACCGTTCGAATGAATCCCCTCGTTCGTGGGATTCCACATACCGAATGCCGAGGTGTTTGTGTGTTTGCTTCGTGCTTTTTGAGCGTGCTGGAGGTCTCAGCGGTACTTGGTTAGTCAAATGCCGGTTTGAGTTCCAGGCGTTCGACAACCAAGTACCGCTGTTCGTGCGTAAGATGGCCGCTGCCACGTGTTCGGTAGGCGAAATGGCGGCCACACTCACTCGCACTTAACACACTTCGCAACATTGTATCTTTGGTTAATAGGAGACACACGACCACCCCGGGGTGGACTCTCGTTCGGTAGTTTCAGGGCATTCGCATGAATAACAGCATGAATAACAGTATAGTCCGTTCGTGAATTGAGTCTCTGCCTTTGCACATATTCGCTTATAATAACTCCAGTGTTCATTCGCACAGAACAGTTCGTATTTTAGTGGCAGGGTTTGCCACAAGAACCAGTCACTGTTCTTATATTAAACCATACTGACTGATGATCACTGAATCTTAAACTTTCACCTACAGTAATACCTGATACCAAATCTCCATTTGTTAACACTAAATCTAGTATGGCCTCTTTATGAATTGGCTCCTCAACGACTTGTTTTAGAGACAACCCCATTAGGGAGTTTATAATATGTGTGCTCCTGGCACAAGCAGTTATTTTGGTTTTCCAGTTCACATCAGGAAGATTAAAGTCAACCATGATGATAACTTCCCGCTTCATTACCATTTTAGCTATTTCCTCAACTAGTAGATTATCTAACTCTATTTGTCCTGGGGGCCTATAAATCACACCTACACGAGTTACTGTGTGATTACCAAATTCTAACGTAACGCAAACTGACTTTATGTTTGCCTCACTAACTTTTATTGGGCTAGATTTTATGCTACCCTTCACATACAGGGCCACCCCACCCCCCTTCTTGTCTTTACTGTTTTATCTATATAAAGTGTACCCTGGTATTGCTATGTCCCAGTCATTTTTCTCATTATACCATGTCTTAGTGACAGCGACTAAATCTACATTATCAGTTGCCATTATTGAAAAAGAACTGAAGTCAGCCTACTATGGTACACTAGAATAAGGGTTCCATAAGTGGTTATTCTAGTTACTCTACAGCTGGTATATCACCACCCTGTAACAGAACCATCCTACTGTTAAAACTCAGGGCAAGCGGCATTCATGTGCTGCCACTGGGGAGGTAGACCATATACTTACAATAGCACTATATATTCTCTAAATTTATTGTCCAGGATTTAGTGCTGGTATTTCGCAAGTGGTGCAGCCTTGCAGACAGGACACTCTGTATCACTATACAATTGAGGTGATACATTTGTCTCCAAGCCACTACATGCTCGATTTGGTCTATTGTGGCATTGCATTGCATATCTTTGCTCCATTATTCGACATATTATGTACCTTACTTAGTAGCCGTCTTCCCTAGTTACTTCAGCACACACGTGTGCTTTCATTGACTACCATATCTTTAGACGCCAGAGTTTATTGACTTCTGTTTATATATATATATATATATATATCTGTAACAGAACTGCTGGCACCCTGACTGGGTACCTTCCGCTGACGGATGCTCCTAGTGCTCCAAGCACTCCACCTGACACCATAACCACTGCAGACCCCACGAACCGCCGCAGTTTTGTTGGGGTCTCGCTGTCTCCACCCACTCTGGACTCAAGACCAGAGTTCAGCTTCCAGTAGGTCGACCTCTCTGAATTCCAGAGAGCAGGAACAGGAACAAGCTCTTAGCAGAGCTTAGTGAATATACCCCGTGGAGCAATCCCCAGAGTGTAGTTCTCCAATCCCCCAAACATGAGCCGAAACTTCATGAAGGTACAAGATGATCTCTTTAATGAGCACCAAAGGGCTTTCCTTTATGCAGGTTTTTCCACAAGGTTACCACCCATGTGGACCTTGTGGTACACAGGACATGCAGTTACAATAGCCAATCAAAACATTACAGTACAGTCATGTACTGAGACATCTCCAGGCACAGGTCCTTTAAACAGATCATCCAGCTGCTTTGTGAGAACTCCATCACCTACAAATGAGGGCAGCACTGACTGTTGGCAGATAAAGCAGGCAAGACTTCTATCACTCAAATCAGAAGTACTGGCTTTTCTTCAGGTCCTGGGCCTACCAGTAGAGGTTGCTCCAGTGCAGGTTTGTCCATAATGGACTGTCGCAAACATCAACCCATTTGTGCCGAGGGGAACACAACGAGAACACCCAACACACCTACATGAAACCAGCAACGACTGCTGCACGTGCCACCACTCGTAGTTTTGTTTGATATTGTTTTATTTCAAAATATGTTTCCAGCTGACTTTTAATTTTCTCTCAATTTGATTATAACAATGATCGCTACATTTCATTTGGCTTATGATCCAATAGCTCTCTCTTATGACAAACCATTATTACTTACCCTTCACGTGCCCTAAGTGGAACTAATCTCAGAAGTAACCTTATCTGTTAACACTGCGGGTGCGTTTACTACTAGCCAGAAACCTATAGTCAATAGTTTGCCTAGCTACTTGTTCAGATATGAGGAATCTAAGCATTAAAAACATACAACAGGGTGTATGCAATGCATGTGATCATGTATTTGCTGAAATATGTAATCTCTAATGAACACCTTTTCCTCACTGTGTAATGCAATGTTTATGCTTGCCCGCAAAAATAAAGAATTTAAAAAAAAATGTGACGTTATGGTAGTTGGAGTTTCCCTCTAAACGTGTAGGAGCCTATTTAAAAAAAAAAAAAAAAAGTAACATACAAATAAATAGAATTTCTCACCCTTCCTGGGTAGTATGTTTATTCTCATTCTTGGGTCCTCTACCAGAGGCCTGGGAGTTTGAGGGTTCTGCGCAGTGTGTTAGTTGTTCCTAGAACTGCACTCCTCTGGACAGCCATTTCATATGTCCCACCTGGAATCTGTTGAAGCCACTCTCCCAACTTGGGAGTCACAGCCTCGAGTGCTCATATCACAACTGGGACTACTACTGCCTTCACTTTCCACATCTTTTCCAGTTCTTCTTTAAGTCCTTGGATTTCTCCACCTTTTCAGGTTCCTTCTTCCTGATGTTAAAGTCCCTGGGTATTGCCACATCCACCACGATTGCAGTCTTCCGTTCCTTGTCTTCCACCATGATGTCAGGTTGCTTGGCCAGCACTTGCTTGTCTGTCTGGATCTTGAAGTCCGACAGGATCTTAGCCCTGTCATTCTCGACTACCCTTTGTGGTATCTCCCATCTGGACTTAGGCAGGTCCAATCCATATTCTGTGCAGATGTTTCGGTACACAATTCCAACAACTTGGTTGTGCCTCTCTGTGTTATCTGTTCCTGCTAACATCTTGCATCTGGCTACTATGGATGTGGAAGGCATATGCCTTAAATTGTGGGAGGGATTATTTGTCCTATTTAAACCCCAGTAAACCTTGCTTACTTGTTGTCGCCGATTTCGGTAGTTCCTCTGTTCTACTTCCGGTTTGCAAAGACTCTGATGTCAATTTTGCCCACCGGCCGTCCGTACGAACAAAGTCATCCAAATTACTTATATGCAATTCGTCAGTATTAAAAAAGGAACACAGCCGTCATACCAACAGGCAAACTGTAAGTAGTTTGAAAATACGAACACCTTTTCTTTCGTACATTGGTCTCATACAATTCGTATAAATTTTGTGTGTTTCTCCGTTCGGTTAAATAAAGGACTTCATGTTTCAATCTGCTTCGTTCATGTGCTACTGATATTTCATTCGTATGGGGAAAGCATACGAACGGCATTCGTGGGTTCTCGTGTAGTTATATCTAAGAATTTCACATAGTTAGCAGGCCAATGGCATTTGTGCCAAATTTTACAATCACTAAATTCATATCAAGGTTCCGTTCGGGTATTTTGTTTCTCTACCTTCATTCCTAGGAACTGAAATTCGTTTCACTTTCATATTAACACTAGCACAATGCACTGGGTTTCATGCATTACTGTTCGGCTTTTATTTAGGTGAATTTTATTTTATATTATAATTTGCTGGTTTCATTTTAGGTCAGTTAAAACTCTTCATAAATTAATTTCCATTAGATTGTTACATTAATCTCCATAATATCTGTTGGTTCAGTGTCTGTCATTTCAATACGTTCGCATAATTCATTCATATGCATATTATCGCTTTCACAAATTTAAAAGACTTCATATAACACTATTCTCATTCTCTTAAGTGGAATTCAGGTTTAATTTTTTAATTTTTTTTATTATTTATTCTGTTATATGCTTGTATAAAAATGTTTGTTTAAAAATGAAATTAGTTAAATTAACCAGAACAGCATTTTTGAGTTCTAACAGTTATAGTTATATAGATTAAAGTTTTTTTCTCTCTCTCTCTCTTTCTTTCTCCCCTTCCCTCCAAATAATATGATTACAGTCATCCAGTTATAAAACTTAACTCAGAGATTCATAAGAGATTCAGAATTAGGAAACAAATTAAATTTTCATGTAAAATGTTAAGAATAACTCTTACCCATAAGAGGGAGAATACGAGGAAGGGTGAAACGGACCTCTGATGTATGATGTTTGTGTTCTGGGTCGGCCTGTAAAAAAAAAGTTAAAAAGCCAGTAAATAGTTGTAACGGCACCCCCAGGCATAAAAAGGGGTTAAAAGCCGTTTAGTAGATCTTCCCTTTCTAGAGACACAGGCACAGCTACTGCAGAACCCCAAACTCCCGAACAGGATACCAAGTAGCACTCCAAACTCCCGAACTGGAACCTCACGAATAGCTGCTAGCAGCTGAACAGGAAAAACACCCAAGCGGCTTACACTCCTGGCAATCAGTCTCTAACAGCATACAGTAAATCCCCCCAAGAACGAGACAAAGCTCCGTGTTGAGGGTGAATCAGTGAACAGACAGAGCTGTGGGTTTATTGTTCTTATATACACATTAGTACCACCCACAGGGTTTTGGAAAACAACCAATAAACACGTACAATACACTCAGACACTCCCACACAAAATGCTCCCCTCTGCCTGTGATACAATTACCTTACACAATGGGTAATATAATTATCACAGACAGAGAAATACAGTTTTTCCACATTATTCATAACTTTAAAAGTATGCATTACATTCACATAAAACATTTTCAGAATCAGCGAACATATGTCAAAATTATCCACATTGGTCCATTGGTTCAAAAGATAGATCAAAGTCCTTTGTGACCAAAGGAAGCATGGCTTTTCTGCCCAAAACCAGTTCCACAGAGTCTTCTATCCTGGAGATAATTTGGAAGTAATTTAATTATCTCCAAGGACAGAGGCAAAACTCCATTAAGCACATGGCAGTAAAAAGACAGTAAAATACACAAGGTTACATTTATTACATAAAATACAGACATGCAACATATCCCCAGATAGCTTAGGTCTGAGCACACATTATTACTGAATGGCACTCAGACCACACACATACAGTACAATTGCCATGGAGCCAAAGTCTTTCCCATAGTCTTTCATTATACGAATGGGCTCCATGGCATAGCTATCTGTGGTATCACCGCTCAAACAGGGCAAGCACCGAATGACCCGGCTTTCATGTCTTTGCAGGGGAAAATCAAGCTTTTCAACATGGGGCCATAGTCTAAAGGCAGCAGGCGGGCAACCAGGCTCCTCCAATGCACAGTGGCGAGATTGGTCTCGTCACAATAGTTGTTATAATTTTAATTAATTTGTTGCTTCTCCCAGGGGTTAGATAAATATAAAGATTATTTTGGTTTTACTTAGAGTCACATGTTTCGGGCTATAATTAGTCTGAATTAAAAAGAACAAGGCTTTAAAAAGACCATTATGGTGGTTAAGGTGCCAGGTTTGCTCTGGCTCCCACTCAGAGTAACCAGGGACGAATTAAGAGCCTGTTGGCCCCAGGTGCTGAAAATAATGATGGGCCTAACTACAGGATCTTATTGACAGAAAACACCAAGTATCTGTATCTGGTGGAGGTGGTGCTGGAAGGAAAATTACAGGATGCATTTATAAGAAAACACATACCCTATGCTAATCTCTGGTTGTCATCTCTCAGCCTAATCCATACCTCCAACTTTGGCCTCTGATGAAGCCGGATGTCGGTAGGCTTGGTAAAAGGAGGTAAGCCAGTGACTCGAATGACATCACTTGCACCGCCCAAAGCTGCAGACCCGCCTGGAAAGGGGCAGGTCTGCCTAAAGAATTGGATAGTTAGTCTGGTGTTAATGTATGCCAGACTGCCTGCCAATTATGCAAGTCGGCCAACTACGGGCGGGACTGTGCAAATAGCGCTGAGCTTGACGCAAAGCATCTAGTGAAACGCTTGCTCTCTGCTTCCTGGGGACAGCACTCACTTGCCCACTCCTCTCCTTCCATTCTTACAAGCAAGCAGTAGCACCTGGAAAACAGTCTGGGACAGGGAAAAGGGTGGATGTAGCTGAAAGGGAATATGCCACTCTTTAGAGAGACCAGAGCAGCAAATCATTTATACTGTGTGCAAAGTCAGCTTTTTGTTAACTTTTTTATAGTCGACCAGACCACACAAGTTTTGTTCCCCTGCATCCCTTCTAGGTTCCCATCCATAATTACCTCTGTGTAAAGCAAGAGCATGTGAAGAGAAGTAAAATATACACATATTTTATTTAAACCAATGGCCCCATTCCAGGAGCATGGACGTGGGGCATCAGCTCTATTAACCCCCATGTTAATCCGGCCCTGATCATAACTGGCTAAACCACAAAAAATGATTTGAAAAAAAAAATATGACACAAGTGATTGTAGATGGACAATGCTGTCTCTCTAGGTCCACTCCCAATAAGCTTAGAAAACGTCAATATGACTAAATAACACGAGAAGGTGCCAAATGGCACTACAAAATTACAATCAGAAGAGAGATTATATAATAATAAATACAATACAATTACCACTCTTGCAGTTGTATAGAACTAACGTATAACATGGGACAAAAAGCAAAGGATCATGGCACAAAAAATGTATTACCTTATATATAATACATACACTTTTGTATAAAAATAAAAACACCCAGCATAAAAACATTCACAAAATATGTGGCACTAATCTTATAAAGAAATAGGGCCAAAGATGTAAGTAGCTCACAGTAATCATTCAGTACTTTTGATCTCCAAGAGGCCTCCTCATTGCTGGATGTCACCTACAGGCATCAAGAAGAGTAACTGGTGGCTACTGTGGCTGGCTTGCCTGGCTTGAAGTCTTTCATCCATTAGTGTTCAAAACTTCCTCAAGAACTATGGTTTCCTTGCACCGGTCCTGGCTTTAAATACTCAAATCTGCAAGGCGGCACATGCATGTTCGAGCATCCTCTGCGGGCCATATGCAATGATGCCATGGCATGTTGGGCATGCATTAACGAGCAATGTAACTTTATTAGTCCAATGCTCATCTGCTTGCCAGTACAAAACAATAAATATAGGAAAAGGCATATAAAAATGCAAAATGAAATTATGAAAAATGCACTATATTTATATATATATATATATATATATATATATATATAAAGAAACAAATATTTAAAAAATCCTACGTGAAGCAGACCAGATTTTATCTCGACCTGAACTGGACTGATCCTTTGATATATGACTTACCTAGTTACATAGCTGTAAAGGACATGCTTCCATCAAGTCCAGCCTTTCTCACATTTGTTTTTGCTGTTGATCCAAAAGAAGGCAAAAAAAACAGCCTGGCTTAAGTGCTTCCAATTTTGCAACAAACTAGGGAAAAAAAATTACTTCTTGACCCCAAAATAGCAGTCAGATGTCTCCTTGGATCAAACAGCTATTACCCCACTAATTAGAAATGATATCCCTGTTTGTTATGTTTTTGCAAGTATTTATCCAATTGCTGTTTAAACATCTGTACAGACTCTGATAAAACCACCTCTTCAGGCAGAGAATTCCATATCCTTATTGTTCTTATTGTAAAAATCCATTTCCTTTACATTCGACTAAATCTCCTATCTTCCAGTTTAAATGCATAACCTCGTGTCCTGTCCTGTGTATGAATTGATTTCCAGACAATGCTTTGTAATGGTCCCACATATTTGTATAATGCTGTCCTATCCCCTCTGAGGTATTGTTTTTCAATGTAAAGAGACTTAAACTTGTTAACTGAAATTCTCCATTCCTTTTTATCAATTTTATAAACTTTTCTAGTGCCATAATATCTTTCTTTAGGATAGCATATTCAAGGTGTGGTCTTACCAAAGATTTATAACAGGCAAGATTACATTTTCATCCTGATAATTAATGGCCCTATTTATACATGACAACACCTTACAGGCCTTTGCAACTGCCTATTGACATTGCATATTGTTGCCTAGTTTATGGTCTATAACAATTCCCAAATCTTTCTCGTGTGTTTTTATATTTAATTGACTACCATTTAGAGTATAAATTGTTTGTGCATTCTTTACCCGAAAGTGCATAACTATGCATTTTTCTACGTTAAATTTCATCTGCCATTTGAGTGCCCAGTCCCCCAACTTATCTAAATCCCTCGGCACATTTCATCTGCTCATCTCGACCACTCCACTGCTACATTTCAAGTCTCTTAATTTATTTTATAGTAGTGCTATTTCTTTATCCTTACTTGAAGCTAAGGAAATAATAAAGACTTTTATTATCAGTTTGACAAGATATATTACACAGACACACCAGTATACTCTTAAAAGACAATATCTATTGTATTGATTCCAGATGCTGCATGCTGTTTCTAACTGCTAACAGGATTATGTGACTTTTAATATAATTTTATTTTTTTTAAATCAGGAAGTGTAGAAAATATTGTATAGAATTTAGCTTTCATAGAGAAATGTACTTACTACTGTGATTAGACTTCATGAAAGACTTCTGGCATTTTTCGTATACAAATTTCAGCAACATTGTACAGACAGTGACAGCCACACCCCAACGTATGGTATAGTCTGACTCTTCATCCTTGTCATCTATGGGTAGATATGAAATGCACTCGTTTGTTTTCATTTGTATATAGAATTTAAAAAAAAAAATAGTGTGACCAGTACGCTACTTCAAGGCATAATAAGGCACATGATGTAAATTGTGGCCTAGTAGTACTTCCACTGTCCACCACCCTCTGTGAAAACATTAGAATTTACTTGGGAGATTGAAAGTGTAGCTGTAACCAAGTCATGGATCACTGTCCTGCTTTCACTGTCTGGAGCTGTTTTCCATCATTATTCTAAGGCCATTAGAACCATGGACCCGCGGGTATATTGAATATATGATCAATCATGATATTTAGTGCAATACAGGAAAAAGAAAATCCAAAATAGAGGATCATGCACTAAGCTGTGGTGATGTTAAATCCGTGTTAAACTATTGTCAAGCAGTTTAAAACTAAATAAGGGTTCCTGGCCACCCACAGTCCAGCCCCTACTAGGGTATGCGTAAGGCAGAGATTACAATATTTTTTATAGTTATACCAATTCATACCAGCAATGGAGTCAAATCTTTTTAATAACAAATCCAAAATGCTACAATGATTATCAATGATTTTTTTATACATTTGGAGTATATAAAATAGAATGGTCAGCTTTACCTATGTATTCCAGCTCGAAGTCTTTTTGGCGAGGTCTAGATAGTGATGCATGTTGGATCTTACAGGAGAAGACCTCGTTTCTGACCTGCTCTGTGGGTTTTATGGTTACTGTGCTGTACACACTGTATGTGCCATCTGTGTTCCTCTGAGGTTTGAATAATCTATAATAATTTAGTATCTCCCCGTCCCTGAACCATTTAATCTCGATGTCCACCGGGTAGTATCCGGTAATCAAGCTGCAAAGAATACTCTCCTTATTCACAACAGCAATTCTCCCTGTGATAGTGATCTTCGGAGGAGCTGAAATTGATTAAAATAAGACAATAAACAATAACCTCTATCTCAGAGCACTGAGTGAATGGTTTCTGTACTGATATATTCCTTCGAATGTCACAGGTAATAGAAATTATTTCTTTAAACAAACAATTACATGTCCACTGGATAAGGACAAACAGACAACTATCACTAACCTAAATAGTGAGGGTCATAAAGGGGAAAATTGACTAGGTCCTGCTATTAAACTACGGTGCACAGGTGGCGCAGAGGGGAGAGAGACCACAAAAGGATGGGGGTGGCGGACGGACAGACAAAAAGGCATACTGAGGGCTGATGATGGACAAAGAGACACACAGAAGGGCTGAGGGGGGCAAAGAGACACACAGATGGGCTGGTGGGACAAGGGGCACGTAGTAGAGGGGCTGAGGAGGGACAAAGAGGCAAACAGAGGGGTTGGGGAAGTGGACACAGACACACAGAGAGGCTAGGGAAGGGGACAGTGATACACACTGTGATACACTCAGAGTGGCCGGGGAAGTGGAAAAAAAGATATGCAAAGGGGATGAGGGGAGAGACACAAAAAGGGGCAGGGAGTTAAACAAAAAGGGGCTGTGGAAAAGATGCAAAAAAGGGCTGAGGGGGAAAGAGACACACAGAGGGGCTGGGAGAGAAGAGGGGAGGGGTGAAGAAAAAAACCCCCACAGATGTGCTGAGGAGGAAAAGACACACAATGTTGGCAATATTTTTTTTCAGTTGGGGGGCTCTTTCCTAGGGCACATACTAGTCTAGCACCTGCTCTTATTCTTCCCCTATCACATGGCCAAGGGGATAAGGTACAGGGCAAGTGGGCAATGCCTTTGCCCTCTTGTTCTTTTCAGTTTTATCCCTCACCTACATAATGTGTGAAGAGCAAAGGGTGCCTTCTACCTATGTCTTAAATTAAAAAATGTATTGTGATCTCAGAGAGCAGTGAGCAGCATGATTGCCATACACTTTAATTTTTAACCCTTAACTGCCATACATGAGTGCGGTCCTTCTTTATTTTTTAATGTTCATCCCCTGTCCCCCAGGCCTGGGGATGAGGATCGGTGAAAAACATGGTGAGCTGCCCACAATTTATATTTTTTGGTATTGCTGCTAACATAAAGTTTAATAAAGAGTAAGTGTCATATCAGGGGTGTAACTAGGTTTCTAAAATACTTAATTAAGCTAAAGATGTTTTGATTCTGATAATAGTCCTTTACATTTGAAATTCGCTTTGAATTCAGTTTGCATTCACTTTAGAATTCTTACTTTAGTAAATAACCTCGTAAAACATAATTAATTTTGAATACTAAAAGTTGCAGGTAATGATGACCAGTGACTAATATATCAGATATGTCCTTTCTCACCGTAAACAAACAAGCTGGTCTCCTTTTCCTTCATCTTCCGATTGTAAAGTACTAAACACGTGTAGACTCCAGAATCGTTCAAAGAAACGTTGAAGATCTGCAGAGACACATCTCCATCCACTACCTTTGTTGTGTCTATGGAAAACCTGTCATCTGTTTTCGTCAGTGTACCATCGTAACTCAGGATTTGCTCTCCCTGGAAATTCCAGAATATTTTGAGGTATCTGGGATCCGCAGTAGGTGTATCCACAGAGAACTTGCAGGGAATTCTTGTCACTGATCTCATTCTGGCTTGATGAGTAGGAGGAACAATCAGCTCCAGAGAACCAACTGCAGAAAGAAACCGTGAATTTAAAAATATTTTTTGGTGTTTGTAACACGAAGGATATTTACAGTTTCCTGTACCCTGAAGAAGTCTTCAAGACAAAATGTGTAGTGCGGGTTTATCTGGTGGAGGACCTTCAACATCGTTGTTGTCAATTGGGGCTCCTACATGAGCTTTGCATTAATGCATTGCCTGTTTGATGATTTTATTATTTGAGTGAATAAAGTGTGTTTTAAACTTTTATACTACATGGTTATTTTTATCTCCTTTTTTGTATGTTTGATTTTGCATAGACTTGTATATAAAGATTATCCTGTGAATGTATGTGTTCTAAATTCCAGAAGACATTTAATGGTGTCACTCTATTTTCTTTTATCCTTGTCATTTGTGTATTTTTTATAATTTATTATTGTTTCCATGTTCGCTTGTGGCTAATATTTTGTTGTTTGCTTTGCACATTAGTCAACGCTGATTATTAGGACATATTTTGACTTTTACTACATTTTGCATTATATCACAAGGCTTGGAATTCTAGTTAGATGGGTAATATTAGAATCTGTATCCCAAGATATATTCGCAGTGTAGAAAAATATACAGGGTTCTTCACTAATGTGTGAAGGTTAAGAATTTTAAAGTATTTTTTGAATTGTTTGGAAGTCAAAGTTCTAGTTATCGACCAAACTAGTCAAACTGAAAACATAACCAACTTGGAGAATTGTTTTCAGTTTTGCTATTTTACCAATAATTCACACTTTAGTAAATAGCCCTCTGGTTTATTCACTAAATTCCATGCACCATTGATCTTGATTGGCACATGTCACCCAGGGTTACTCTATCTAACAATGTTCATATTTTGCAATACTGGCCCAGTTGCCACACAAAAAGGTATAAAAAAAGGGTAAACAAGACAAGGCGTACGTAGATGAGGAGAGACATGGAGGTGCAGATACAAGAAGATAGAATTGGGGGAGTCATAGATGGGGGACAGAAATATAAAAGTAGCAGAAAGAGACATAAATGGGGAGGGGGCATGTCAGGGCACAGGTGGAAGTACAATCACATTCACTGACACAACATTCAAATGAGTGACCCAGGTTGTGCAAAAATCTTAATGGAAATTCAACCACCTCAGAAAGATTGTGATAAATGAAGCAAAGGTTGTAATTTCTCCAAATTCTAAACTTTTCTACAATACAAAAAATGCAAAACAACGTTTATCAATGAATTTCATATATTTGAAGTATATAAAAAAGAATGGTTTGCTTTACCTATATAGTCAAGCTGGAAGTCTTTTTGGCGAGGTCTAGGTAGTGATGCATGTTGGATCTTACAGGAGAAGATGTTGTTTCTGTCCTTCTTGGTCGGTATTATGATTAGTGTGCTGTACACACTGTATGTACCATCATGGTTTCTCTGAGGTGTGGATACTGAATAATTATTTACAGTCTTCCCGTCCCTGAACCATTTAACATCGATGTCCATAGGATAAAATCCGATGATAGAACTTCTTAGAACACTTTCTTTATTTATAAAAGCAATTCTCTCTGTGATAGTGATATTTGGAGGAGCTGAAATTGATTAAAATAAGACAATAAAGTTCAATAAACAATAACCTCTATCTCAGAACATTGATTGACTGGTTTCTGTAATGTTAAATTCCTTCCACTGTTACAGATAATATGACTTATTATCTCCCTTAAAAAACACAATTACATGTCCTCTAGATCAGAGCATGAAGCCAACCATCACTAACCTAATGATGAGGTTCATGAAGGGGGACATTGATTAGGTCCACCTGCTAATCTTATTATGCCCTTGTCCCATGGCCCAGGGGCTGGGGTACAGAGCAGGAGGGCAATGTTGCTGCCCTCCTGTTCCTTTCAATTGAAACCCTCACCTACTCAATGTGTGAAGGGAAAAGGGTGCCTTCTACCCCTGTTTCAAATTTTTAAAAATGTGTTTTTATCCGACAGCTTAGGAAACGGGGCAGAGAGCAGTGCAAAGCATGATAGCCATATACTTAAATTTTTAACCCCTCATCTACTATACTTGGGTGTAGGTATGCAAGCTGGGAGGGCCCTATTGGTGTCCCTTACACTTAATGACACCCGATGGGCATCTCAGATCAGTGGCCCTTTGACAGTGTGACCTTGTCCTTGTCCAATGGTGCTGGGAGGCAGTGAGGACAGGTCAGTTCCTCCAAGCTAACAGAGAAAGCATCATGGGGAGGACTGGGAGGATGCAGAAATGAGGTGTGGTTCCCCATGCAAGGGGTTTCCTAACTGACTTTACAGGGGTTGTACAGTAGGGGACTACATGGGGGACTTAACATACAGAACATTTCTCCCACCATGCACTGCTGTAAGAGAGGGATACTCCCACTAGAATATCCTGTTAACTAGATTATCCCTCCGTACAGCAGAACCGGCTTTTCACATAAAAATCCGTAACTTACGTATTATTAATCGTGCCATTGTACCGAGTGACCAATCGGCAGATAGCTGGGGTCTGAGCACATACTTCGTGAAAGTACCTCTCAGATCCCAACAAAACCAGCCGAACGCCGCACAAAATACACTTCAATATACATTCCTCATAAAAGTCACAAATACACAAGTGGGGGAAAAGTACCGAAAGACCGGCACTCCTGAACGGCCTGGAAGTCCAGCGGTGTTCGTGCCGTCGAGTAGCAGATTTTAGTTCCAGGCACTCAACGACCAAACACCACTGGGCAAAACGGGAATCCAAGATGGCCGCCGCCTCATGGTCGGTAGCCGAACGACGGCCACTCTGTGAATCAATTAGCAGCCAATGGATACATTGTTGCAATCGGTTAATGGGAGCCACACGACCCCCTGTGTGTGGGCTCCCATTCGGTACTTTGTTTGTTTCACGAACAGTGTTAAAAATCACTGTTCGTGAAACTACCATATGAATGCTAGAGGCTTTCGTGCCACTAGCATACGAATTCCCTCTTTCACATTTTAAGCAAACACATCAAACATCATATATAAACCAGTCTTTCTAGAGCAACCCTCAAAGATAAACAAAATAGTCTGAAGTGGCTAGGTTTGCCACAAGCTAGTCTGCCAGTACCATTTGGGTTTCACACTAAATGGTGCTTTTGTATTTCAGTATGTCCCAGGCTTCGGATGTCCCGGAAGAACTGTCCCTTCCCAGCACCCCGGCTAGGTCTGGTACTTCACAGAAGTTCCAATGGAATATTCCATTCCCGGCTACTGCCAGAAAAGCAGAGTTGTTCATGCATCTCAACGTTAACATGGACAACTCTGATGCTGGGGAGGGGCCCAGTGCATCCCAGCTGCCTGATGTCCAGGCCAGGTCGTCCACTTTACTATCATCCATTGGACTAAATGATAGGTTGGAGCAGATGGAAACTGCCAGCACTCCCACTTTGCCTACTAGACCCACAGTTGCTCTACCAGCAGCATCTGCACCGACTTACCCGGGTAATTCTATCACTCCGCTAAGGGCCCCTGAGACCATAAACCCATCACATAAGGTTCCAGCTCATCTTAGAACATTCTGAAGGCAGGGATATTAACCTGGCTTCGCTCTTTACCAACCACTTCTTGAGCTAAACGGTTCCACACTCACTACGTCTAAATTCATGCTGTACGTTCGCATGCTACTAACCAGGCTTGGCCTTAATTTAAATCACTATTCAGGCCACTCTTTTCGTATAGGGGCAGCCTCCAAAACCACTCCAGCACATATTAAAGCCATGGGACGCTGGAAATCATTCACATACACTCTATATATCCCGAAACCAGTTAAAGAGATTTGTCAAACCTTTCAAGACTTGTCTAAATAATTGATGTATTGTAGCACAAATAAAATCTTGTATGGTATACTTCATTTTGCCCTCTTTTTTACAGGCCTACTGCATTGTTGGTTCCGGCAGACCACAACCACAACCGACTGGTGTTTTTAAACTATGTTATCATTACTATTCATATGTTACTCTTTATATGTTATCTAACCATTACGGCAATATTGCTCAGACCACAAATATATATATATTTTTTTTCATTCAAAGTGTATTTTGATATTAGTTATATAAAAATATATTAGGCATATGTACAATGCTTTTAAAAACTTGATTTCAGTATTTGGGAAACTGACTGACAATCCAGGCAATGTCCTTGTAGCAGTTCAGCAGATTGCTATTGCAACCATGTGATTGCTATGTCAAGCTATCACATGGCCCAGAAGGGCTGGATTTGCTGCAGGGGGACTGCCTGGGTGTCAGGCGTTCCCACCTAAGTGAATCGATGTGGTAGGTAAGTACTCAGAGACACAGGGGCTGTACACTGTTACATCGTTCTATGATGGCGTAATAGCTTTTAATCCCACTTAAGGTGTTAAAGGGATACCAAAGGCTCCAAAACAACCTTAGTTTAATAAAGCCATTTTGGATTATGAATTATGCCTCTACAGTCTCACTGCACAATCATCAGCCATTTAGGAGTTAAATCACTTTTGTTTATGTTTATGCAACCTTAGTCACACCTCCCCTGGCTGTGACTAATTTACCTGTAATCACAAAGGAGGCTCCTGCAGGCTATTAACAGAGCAGGAGATAAGACATTCTAAATTAAGCACACTGTGCAAGAAAGGAAGTTTAAACATTAGATCTCTCTTCCAAGAAATGTTTATGGAGGCTGTGTAAGTGACAGCCAAGGGAGGTGTGGCTAGGGCTACATAAACAAAGTGATTTAACTCCTAAATTGCAGAGAATTGAGTGTTGAGACTGCAGGGGCATGATCTATACACCAAAATTACTTAATTAAGCTATAGATCTTTTAGCTTCAGTACAGACTCTGACACTAATGCAGCAAATCAGTGAGCATTATTTCCTTGTGTGCAGTATTCTATGTTTTGTAGATCAGATATGCACATTCTTACCATATACAGACAAGCTGACTGACTTCTCCATTATCTCCAGACTGTACAGTATTACACATGTATAGACTCCGCTATCGGTTACTGTAACATTGGATATAGACAGAGACGCATCCCCATCTATAACTCTGGTTGTGTTTATGGAAACTCTGTCATCACTTGTTGTCACTGTATCATCGTAGCTCAGGATTTCCTCTCCCTGAAAAATCCAGAATATTAAAAGGAGGCTGGGATCCACAGGAGGCTTATACACAGTGACTGTGCAGGGGATTATTGTCTCTGAACCCTTTCTAACTTGATGAGTGGGAGGAACATTCAGCTCCAGAGCGCCACCTGCAGAAAGAAACTGTGAATTAAAAAAAGTACAATTCATGATGACAATTTGTTTGCTTTGCACAATATTCATCGCTGATTACTGGGAAATAATTGCAATTTTTGTAAATCTAGCATTATACCACAACAATTTAAATGCAAGGAAATTGGGTGATAAGAAAATATGTACCTAGTCTAGAGAAAACTAAAGGGTTATTTGCTAATGTGTAAATTAATGGGAATACAAAGTCAAAGTTAAATCTTAGGACAAAATAGCCAAACTGAAAATATAAGCTACCTGAGAGATCGTTTTGATTGTGGTTAGCTTGGCCTAAAATTTGAAATGCAACAATTCATACTTTAACCCCTTAAGGACACATGGCATGTGTGACATGTCATGATTCCCTTTTATTCCAGAAGTTTGGTCCTTAAGGGATTAAAAGGAACAGTCACAGCTTATTGAATTTGTTCTGGTGAGTAGAATCATTACCTTCAGGCTTTTTGCAGTAAACACTGTCTTTTCAGAGAAAATGCAGTGTTTACATTACAGCCTAGTGATAACTTCACTGGCCACTCCTTAGATGGCTGTTAGAGATCCTTCCTGGGACGTTACGCGTCTCCACGCTCTGCATGGTGATACAGTACTTTCCTTATAGAGATGCATTGATTCACTGTATCTCTATAAGGAGATGCTGATTGACCAGAACAGCGTTTTGAAATGAATGCGCATTAGCCCTATAATGTTCCTTTAATTAATAACCCTGGGTGTATTTACTAAAGTCCAAGTACCGTCTGTCTGTGGAAAAATAATTCAGGTCTGTTCGGGGACATTTGACAGCAAAATCTGAATATTTAAAACTGTCTACATTTTGTAATACTGGATCTGAGTAAGTCAGAATTTTACCCAGATTTTATCCTATCTGGACATGGCCAAATAAAATTCGGATGTGTATATTAAAAACCCCACTGTTTGCATGATAGCAGCAGTGAAATAATTAAAGGGACACTATTGTCACCAGAACAACTGCAACTTGTTCTGATGACTATAGTGTTCTGATGTCTATAGTATGTCTCTGCAGGCAGAGGCATAACTAGAAAACACTGGGATCCAGTGTGAAAATTGCCCTGGGCCTCCCTATTTGTCTCATCCCTCCAACCCACCCTTCCAGGTGTCCCTTCCTCCATACCAACCCCTCTATCTGTCTCCTTCCTCCCAGCCCCTCCATGTGTCTCATTCCCTCCCCCAGTCCCTCCATGTGTATTATTCCTTCCCCCAGACCCTTCATCTGTCTTATTCCAACCCCCCCAGCCACACCTTGTCTATCATTTTTTTTTTTTATCCCAAGATTTCCATGTGTCTCATTCCCTACCACCTGTCACGACACACTCCTTAGTTAACATGCCCTTGTGCAGTACCCATTCACACCACTGTTTCTGTTTGGCACTGTTCCTGATTTCTTTTCGTTAAGCACTTCACCTGGTCCTTGTTTAGCACCTATATAGTCTGGTTTCTCCCCTCACTCCTGGTCAGATCATTGTCTCTTGTCTCCTGTTTCTTGTTCCGTGGTTCTTGTTTCCTGAGATTCTGACTCTTCGCTCCTTGATCCAGTATCCTGTGTTTCCTGGTCCTGTGTTCCGGTGTCCGCCTGGTCCTGCGTTCCTGTGCCTCCCGATCCTGTGTTCTGATTCAGTGTTCCTGTCTCTGCCTTATTACCAGTGATCCTGACCCTGCAGCCTTGTTCGTTTGTCCTGCTTCGGGCTTTGCTTCCTGGTGCCATATATTTGTTTTGTGGCTCTGGATCTGTGTCCCACCTATTTCTGTGGTGGCCGCACAATCCTGTCCAAATACATTCTTTATACCAAAGGACTGTTATTAAGTATACCCTTCCTGCCCAATTTGTGGTTATCCTGATTTTATTGTAAATATTATTCTGTGGCTTTGTATATATTTATTACATATTGTTTTGTTATCGTTTGTCCTTTGGTTCCCTTTAATATATATTTCTTGATTTATTCTATTCATTGTGTCCTTGCCTTTATTATTTTCTAAATTGGCTCCCACATTTAAAGGGATAGTGCTGTCCCAGGGCCTTACACCACCAGACACTCCATGTGTATAATTTTCTCCTCCCTCCAGCCCCTCCATGTGCCCTATTCCCTCTGCCCCTCCTGTACCTGCTCACCGCCACAGTACCCATCTGTCAGGAAGGGCTCTCTGTGTGCACTTCCTGTCAGACTGCAGTCCGCTACCTATTCCATCCACCCTCCCAGTCCTTCTTTGTGTACCATTCCCTTTCCCCAGCCCCTCCATGCGTCTCGTTTCTCACCCCACTATGTGTCTCATTTCCTTCCCCCCTGCCCCTTTGTGTCTCATTCCCTCCTCCCCACAGCCCCACCATTTGTATCATTCCCTCCTTCACCCCCCCCCAGCCACTCCATGTATATAATTCCTTCCTCTCCCAGCCCCACCATGTGTCAAATTCCCTTCCGCCCTGCCCCTCCATGTGTTTCATTTCCCTCCGCCCAGCCCCTCCATTTGTCTCAATCCCTCCTCCTCCCAGCCCCACCATGTGTATCATTACCTCCCGCTCTCTATTATACACTGTATGTACAGTAACCTGCCCTATATAACACACTCCCTCTCTGTAATTAGTTACTGTAACTGTACATTACCCTCTCTCTCTATTATACACTGTATGTACAGTATCCAGTAACCTGCCCTATATAACACACTCCCTCTCTGTAATTAGTTACTGTAACTGTACATTACCCTCTCTCTATTATACACTGTATGTACAGTAACCTGCCCTATATAACACACTCCCTCTCTGTAATTAGTTACTGTAACTGTACATTACCCTCTCTCTATTATACACTGTATGTACAGTATACAGTAACCTGCCCTATATAACACACTCCCTCTCTGTAATTAGTTACTGTAACCGTACATTACCCTCTCTCTATTATACACTGTATGTACAGTATACAGTAACCTGCCCTATATAACACACTCCCTCTCTGTAATTAGGTACTGTAACCGTACATTACCCTCTCTCTATTATACACTGTATGTACAGTATACAGTAACCTGCCCTATATAACACACTCCCTCTCTGTAATTAGTTACCTGTAACTGTACATTACTCTCTCTCTATTATACACTGTATGTACAGTATACAGTAACCTGCCCTATATAACACACTCCCTCTCTGTAATTAGTTACTGTAACCGTACATTACCCACTCTCTATTATACACTGTATGTACAGTATACAGTAACCTGCCCTATATAACAAACTCCCTCTCTGTAATTAGTTACCTGTAACTGTACATTACCCTCTCTCTATTATACACTGTATGTACAGTATACAGTAACCTGCCCTATATAACACACTCCCTCTCTGTAATTAGTTACCTGTAACTGTACATTACCTCTCTCTCTATTATACACTGTATGTACAGTATACAGTAACCAGCCCTATATAACACACTCCCTCTCTGTAATTAGTTACTGTAACTGTACATTACTCTCTCTCTATTATACACTGTATGTACAGTATACAGTAACCTGCCCTATATAACACACTCCCTCTCTGTAATTAGGTACTGTAACTGTACATTACCCTCTCTATTATACACTGTATGTACAGTATACAGTAACCTGCCCTATATAACACACGCCCTCTCTGTAATTAGTTACTGTAACTGTACATTACCCTCTCTATTATACACCGTATGCACAGTATGCAGTAACCTGCCCTATATAACACACTCCCTCTCTGTAATTAGGTACTGTAACTGTACATTACCCTCTCTCTATTATACACTGTATGTACAGTATACAGTAACCTGCCCTATATAACACACTCCCTCTCTGTAATTAGTTACCTGTAACTGTACATTACTCTCTCTCTATTATACACTGTATGTACAGTATACAGTAACCTGCCCTATATAACACACTCCCTCTCTGTAATTAGTTACCTGTAACTGTACATTACTCTCTCTCTATTATACACTGTATGTACAGTATACAGAAACCTGCCCTATATAACACACTCCCTCTCTGTAATTAGTTACCTGTAACTGTACATTACCCTCTCTCTATTATACACTGTATGTACAGTATACAGTAACCAGCCCTATATAACACACTCTCTCTCTGTAATTAGTTACCTGTAACTGTACATTACCCTCTCTCTATTATACACTGTATGTACAGTATACAGTAACCTGCCCTATATAACACACTCCCTCTCTGTAATTAGTTACCTGTAACTGTACATTACTCTCTCTCTATTATACACTGTATGTACAGTATACAGTAACCTGCCCTATATAACACACTCCCTCTCTGTAATTAGTTACCTGTAACTGTACATTACTCTCTCTCTATTATACACTGTATGTACAGTATACAGAAACCTGCCCTATATAACACACTCCCTCTCTGTAATTAGTTACTGTAACCGTACATTACCCTCTCTCTATTATACACCGTATGCACAGTATACAGTAACAGTAACTATATAAAGCAGAATAATGTCCCCTACTGTTTGATATTAATATATAATGACATGGCTAGAACAGACCTGATTGCAGATATAGAAGCAGTAACATTAATCCTCCTGGTCCTCGATCCATTTTCTAATAGAGCAATGTCTAAACTGTACTTTCACTTTGTTTAATTGATACCTTTTGCAAGTATAACATTTCAGCTCTGGACTTTGTCCTCTGTTTTTTTTTTGTTTTGTTTTTTTATTAAGGAAATGATGACAATACGTTGCTTACGTGCTCTAGCTGGAAAGGGACACTCCAAGATTACAAAACTTAAACCCTATAAATTATTGTTATTATTAAATAAATGTTACTATTGGGTCAACAACACCATGCAACTCTTCCCTCAAAAGTATCACAGCCCAAACTTGAATACACCGATTCCCGCTGATATTGTTGAAGGAAATGTTTGCTAAGGTGTTGTGGACCCAATGAAAACATTCTTTTCATATATCCTATACATTCTAAGTTTTAATATTTATAATCTTGGAGTGTCGGTGTATCCTACATTGAGACTCTTCACCAATGAACTGACCCAGCATTGCAGGACAAGTTACAGGTAAGGAATAAAACTGTTTGCAAATGTTTTGACTTCCTGCATGAGGAGCTGCCAGGACAATCCAGGCACCATGACAACTACAGGATTCCTTTACGTTACACCATTGATAAAGCCGCAAACTTGTCAGTCAAAACCTTGACATATAGTCTTCCTTTATTGAGAAACATGTTTATAAGGGGGCATTATTTTAACTTGAGAAACGAGACTTGTGGTCAAAGCGCCGTGATCTCTTACCTTCCAAGCTGACCATTCCCAGTGATCCACAGTGAGGGAAGACATTAAATACCCAGACTGCACAGAGCCTGGATGGGCTCACATAGATATACTTTTTTGATTTATTTTTTTCACTGTTCAGTTTTTTTGCATATCTTTTATTAGTTACAGTTTTGTTGGGATAGAATACATTTTCATTTTGGCTCTTTTTGATGCCAAACAAGATAGAAGAAAGACGAGCTTCAATCAAGATCTCATTTGATAAAATTTTTGACAGGATTTTTATTTGACATTTGTTAGGGTCCCCTCACTAAAAATAGGGTAGGGGGATTGGTGGGGCAAATTCTGGATTTGTGGCCAGGGGGGTGGAGACCTCATCGACACATTGAGGGAGTCACTTTATGGACATTAGACAGTGGCCATCACCTGGGACATTTCTGCCTATTCACACAGGGCCAAAGAGAATGGGTATCAGCTGGGCACTTTAAGGGGCCATATTAATAGGATCAGGGAGGCCTGGCAAAAACACACAATCTGTAACTGGTAAAATGATTGCAAGCTTTTCAACCTAGCTTGGTATTTGTTCTAACTTACATATCTCCATTCTCTGCCTGGGTGAAATGACATTCCAGCTTATATCAAAGCCAAATATTAAACCCCAGAATCTCCACTTACATTCATCATTGCCTGGACACGGTAATTAAAGGTGTAGTATGATATGTGTACTTTGTTACTATGCTTAGAATATGCATTGAGAATAATGTGCTATTTGCAAGGTAAATGGTGCCATCTAAATAACAAAACATAACAAACTATACCTTTAACCCCTTAAGGACACAACTTCTGGAATAAAAGGGAATCATGATGGAATATTTCTGTCGTGTCCTTAAGGGGTTAATATGTGTATTCTGCCATAAGGTTTCGTAGTATGTTGATTTTATTATGATAGGACAATAATTCAATAAAACCTGAGAATCCCGTTTTAAAAATTATAATATTTGCCCTTTTTTAACCTGAGGAGCCATATGTTTTTTTTTTATTTGCTGTGCTGAGCTGAAAATAATTTTAATTAAAGTTGATCTAAGAATCAGGAAATATGACATAATGATTTAAGGCTCCTGGGCAATAAATGTGGCTTTTGCTATGCAAGTGTCTCTTAGAGACCACTTCTTGTCCGAATCTAACTTGGAGGTCTCCGCACTGATCATGGTATTTTTGCTTTCTCTATTCATGATCGATAAAAAATTTTCTTTTATCGCAAAGTTCTGGTCTTTTCATAGCTGTCCAGAGAGACAATACCTTTAACCTGAAAGTAACAATGTCGATTACTACCATATCGCTCAACAAGATGTTTGACTTGACATTGAAACTATCAGAAACACCCCTGGATGAAGGGCATTTCAAATTCAAGACAAAAACAAATGAATGGGAAATAAAATCACTTCAATTCAGCTTTGCTACCATCTTTGGCCTCTAATTTTTAATTCACTTTGAATCCAGATCAGTGAAAAATACCCTTACAGTAATTTCCTGAATGTAAATAATAAACAGACCTGATTGCAGAAGAAGAAGCAGTAACCGGAATTGTCCTCCGATATGTGGTTGAAATAGGTGGGCCATTTTTATTCTTACATTGAATTTCACCCACAGCAACCGAGATTAAATATAGTTTAAAAAAATCCTTATAGACACAACTGCTTAGTCTTCTAGAAATGTATTGACCTGGTACTGTCAGAGTCAGGAAAAAAATTAAAAAATTCTTCTTTCAGTTTCATCCAGTGACTCTTATCCAAATATCTCCACCTATAACTGGAAAAACACAACTTGTGCAATTGTCAGTGTTGTGGTTTTTTATTATTTGTAAATAATAATGCTGCCAAAGTGCCAGCACACCTTATTCTAGGGATTAAGGCTTTATACCCGTATATAGGCTTTTGACACTGTTGCACATAGAAGGCTTATCAGTAAACTGCAATCTTTAAGTTTGGATTCCAATATTGTTGAATGGGTAAGGCAGTGGCTGAGTGACAGGCAACAGAGGGTTGTAGTTAATGGAATATATTCGAAGCTTGGACTTGTCACCAGTGGGGTACCTCAGGGATCTGTACTTGGACCCATTCTCTTTAATATTTTTATTAGTGATATTGCAGAAGGTCTTGATGGTAAGGTATGTCTTTTTGCTGATGATACTAAGATATGTAACAGGGTTGATGTTCCAGGAGGGATAAGCCAAATGACAAATGATTTAGGTAAACTAGAAAAATGGTCAGAATTGTGGCAACTGACATTTAATGTGGATAAGTGCAAGATAATGCATCTTGGACGTAAAAACCCAAGGGCAGAGTACAGAATATTTGATAGAGTCCTAACCTCAACATATGAGGAAAGGGATTTAGGGGTGATTATTTCTGATGACTTAAAGGTAGGCAGACAATGTAATAGAGCAGCAGGAAATGCTAGCAGAATGCTTGGTTGTATAGGGAGAGGTATTAGCAGTAGAAAGAGGGAAGTGTTCATGCCATTATACAGAACACTGGTGAGACCTCACTTGGAGTATTGTACACAGTACTGGAGACCGTATCTTCAGAAGGATGTTGATACCTTAGAGAGGGTTCAGAGAAGGGCTACTAAACTGGTTCATGGATTGCGGGATAAAACTTACCAGGAAAGGTTAAAGGATCTTAACATGTATAGCTTGGAGGAAAGACGAGACTGGGGGGATATAATATGCAGTATAAAGGCATCAAACGCCTGGTACTATTTTCGGCCACACTAACTCCCAAACACCGGTCGACTTATACTGCTGCCTGCTTCTTTTCACAAACGGAAAAACAAACGTTTTGTAACATGTAACCTATGTAACATTGGTAAAGATGTTAGTAACAAGTTAATAACAGATGTTGTCCAACTCTGTGTTTGGGTTGGGTAACCAAAAGGAGATTAATTCAGAGAAGAAATGTTGTGTTTATTACCACTCTTTGGTCAAACTAGAGAAGGAGATATTCTGAATGCACTGCTTAAATTTTTTCAGTGAGAAAAACTTGGTAAGTCAATTCTCATACTGTGTCTCATAATGAAGAAGTATTTTCTGTAGTATGTCACCTTAAGGCTCATTCTAAAGCTTTAATGGAATAAACTACAGTTCATAGTACACTAAGTATGTGGCTACATTGGGATAATCGGTAGTTTCCATTGAGATCATGTGATCTGAATCCAGTTTCTTTTTCTAAGCCATAAAATTAGTCTCTAGCTTTTAGCACTCAAATATACAAGGAAAGCCAAGTAAAAATGATCAACTTCAAGCAATGTGGAAATGAAAGATTTTGTTTGTTTTAACAAACAGAGTTGCAAACATAGATAACCCATAGTAATGTAGATGGCAGCCTAAGACCTACCTGTTATAATACGTTTCCAAAAAATAAATCACAGAACAATAGTTAGAGTTGAGCAGACTGTTAGGTCACCCTCAGATGATATTGTTGCGTAGAGATCTACAGAAAATAGCACCTAAGACTAAGAACCTAAGAACTGAAATTGTGCCCCTCGCAGCTCCTGTCCAAACACTCATCTTTTAGTTCGCTATCATAATATCAGCTCAAAAATACAAGCTGTGTGTGCTGGCTGTATGTATCAGTAATAGTGTGTGTCCGTCAGTGAGTGTGTGTCTGTCAGTGAGTGTGTGTCTGTCAGTGAGTGTGTGTCTGTCAGTGGGTGTCTGTCAGTGAGTCTGTGTCCGTCAGTGAGTCTGTGTCTGTCAGTGAGTCTGTGTCTGTCAGTGGGTGTGTGTCTGTCAGTGAGTCTGTGTCTGTCAGTGGGTGTCTGTCAGTGAGTCTGTGTCCGTCAGTGAGTCTGTGTCTGTCAGTGAGTCTGTGTCTGTCAGTGGGTGTGTGTCTGTCAGTGGGTGTGTGTCTGTCAGTGGGTGTGTGTCCGTCAGTGGGTGTGTGTCTGTCAGTGGGTGTGTGTCTGTCAGTGAGTGTGTGCCAGTGAGAATGTGTGTGTCAGTAAGAGTGTGTGTTAGTTAAACAGTGTGTGCCAATGAGTGCGTGTTTGGGACAATAAGAGAGTATGTGCTTAAAAGAATGACAATGTTTTGCTATGTGATTTGTAGCAATTTGTATATATGTGCATGTATTATTAATAAATGTGTATTATATTAAAGTGTATATACAAGTAGTGTAAATAGATTTTAATTTAAAGCTCTTTAAATATATTGACCCTCCCCTAACTGTCAATAAAATCACACACAGGGTCTAATGCCATAGATTGAGCGGAAGGCTGCTCTCTTGCTCCCTGTGACTTTGTTACTCTCCTAGAATACATTTCTCATGTTTGCTGTGGAATTGGGGAAGCACTGACGCCAATAAACTGGCACTGATCAAGCTAACATGCTTGATCAGTGCCAGTTTATTGGCGTCAGTGCTTCCCCAATTCCACAGCAATGGGGATTGCCCTGCTTGGGTTTGTGCACCCAAGCAGGGCCAATCACGCCACACTCACATGCAGCCAAATCCCATTTACAATCAAACTCAGACAACCACACATACATAATCACACTCAGCCAAGCCCCACACAGAATCACACACATCCCACTCAGGTCTATTACTTAGGAAGAAGCAAGGGGTGGTGGTGAGGAAGCCCTTCTTTGATTCTTGCACCAGTTCCCAAATTATAAAGGACACAGTGTATCACAGCATTTTAAGACAAAACATGACAGTAACCCCAATGGCCTTTAATGTATGGGTATTCAAAAAGTTCCAAGAGATTTTATGCAAAAATGTGGTCAATACGAAATGAAGTGGATATTCATGTATGGTTTATTTCTGGATCCACACCTCACTCTGGTCTACTTTATATCAATGGTGTGTTCCAAGCCTCCCTTTCATTTTCGGCCTGGTCACAAAGTTTTTTTCCAGTTCCGGTCGGCTGTCATAACAGCATTTCCGGTTCCGGACGGCGGCCATCTTCTGCATTCCAACAGTTCGTGGCGGCCATTATTTGCATTCTAGCCAATGCCGATGGACATTTTTTGCGTTCCACATTGGGATGCACATCCCGGCCACCATAAT